TATTTCGGGATAGCAATACAGTAAAACTGAAAGACAATTGCACCTAACTGCATTAAGGCATGAAACTCTCTACCTGAAGGGTTCTAATCTTTCTTTTAATTCCAAGAAGCTCTATTACCACCACCCAACTTCTACCTCCCCCTCCCCAACAAAAGCATGAAAAGAGTAAAGCATGAGATCACCTGGAATTACTATCTCTAGAGTAATGGATAATTTTGCTCCAGAGGAGACATTTTTGGCTGTGAGTTGGGTGCTATTGTCATCTAGCTGGTTGAGGCAATGGGATGCTACTATTAAACGTAACACATAGTGCAGTGTCCACAGCAAAGAACTGTCCAGTGCAAAATATCAAATAATTTTCTAGAGTCATGGTTCTCAAAATGTGGTCCCTACATCACCAACAATGGCATCACCTGGGAACCTATTAGAAATGCAAAATCTCAGGCCCAGCCCAGACCTACAAAACTAGCAACTCTGGGCGTCCGTGCTTTAGCAAGCTTTCCAGATGATGCAGATCAACACTAAAGCATGAGAATCTCTGAAGTTAGCAAACATAAAGTTAAATATCAATGCAATCAAAACACAGAGGTAAAGTTACAAAGTCACCTACAGTTAGTATAGAACAAAACCAGGATTTGAACCCAGGCTGCCTAATGTCAGAATCTGTATGTACTCATAGGCTATACTATCTTTTAAAGTACTTTAACTTTTGTACAGCAGTGACTTATTCTTCCATTAGAGGACAAAAGTTGTTGGCAGAATCGAGTTAGGCAGAGGAGGATGGAATGGGGGAGATACCACCATAATAATTATACCACCCCCAATTCTATACACTAGTATGCATTTTATAGGCTGCCAAATAAGTAATATGAAAACAATAAGAATATATTAATGTTGTTAGGTTACCCCAAAGTGTACTGAACCTATATGATGACTTTTTTTTTGGTCATAACTCGGTAACATCGAAGACTTTGTTTTTCAGTCTCTAAAACCTGGAAAAGTCCTATTTCTTCATTGAGGTTCACGTACAGTTCAAGAAATTAGGCTTGACAGATGTAGTAGGCAGGGCAGATTTTGACTCAGAGGGTGGAGAGGAGACACAGTGGAAATTTTCAAGCATGTCCTGCTGAACTTGCTTGCATAAACTTTGATTTGGAATTTAAGCTTAAGATGTTTCCCCTTGGTAGGATGATACTTAACTGTAACTCTCTTTCAACAAAAATTTGGAACTATATGGTCCTTGGGCCAGTAGGCTGTCTGATAAAAGGGCAATTTATCCACCATGTGAGGCAATGAGACGTTCCATTGAGTTCTGTATAGGTGACAGAATCATCCCTTTAAGTGCTTGAGCTTTTATTACTTTAGCCATTTCTAGAGGAATAATTTCTAAAATGTACTATATACATCTGTCCAATCTCAAAGTAAATGCTATGTAGTGAAAACAAACTTTTATCTGATACTCAGGAATATAATTATGATCTTCAAAAATTGAACATGGAGGTTCTAAAAGTACATAAGGCTGTCATCCCAAAGACGGAATCACTCAGCTCTTGGATCTTGTCTGTCTGACAGTTGTCTGCATTTTGCTGAGTGTCACAGTCACCTTCTAGCTTACTGTGTGAGAGCAAAACCCCCCACACAACCAAATTGACTAGAAGTTGACATAAAATCAAGAAAATTAAACTAAATGAGTCTTTTCTTTGGAGTGTACATTTTTGCTTGCATTTGGTTTTAGAATTGTACTTAGCATTAATCTGGCTTACAGATAGGAGGAGTGATATTATACATTTAAATGTCATCAAACATTGCTCATTGAAACATTTATTCTGCTTTTTATGATGACAGCTAAAAGAAAACAAACCCAGCATTTAAACTCTATTTTGAAACGTGTTTTAAAGTGTTTCCAAATCTTAGAACTGTACATCTTCAACACTGCCCTCCAGTTTTGTCACTGATAATCTCTAATCTTGTCCACAAATTTTCATTGATGAGTTTCCAGTGACATTTCAAAAAGACTATTCTACGATACCACACTCCCTGACCTCTCTACAGCTGATAATGTGGATTACCCGTTTCCTTGACATTTTAGGAGATTCTAAATAGATTCTCTCATGTTGTCAGGTTCTGTCAGTAGCCCTTCAAACTTCTAAGATTTTTCCTCTATATTTTTATCAGCATTTCTCACTTAAATAAACACAATTACTACGTACCATATTTTGTGGATGCCATTCAAATACAGACGGTCCCCAGCTTAGGATGGTTTAACTTGAGACTTTTCAACTTTACAATGACGCAAGAGATACACATTCAGTAGAAACCATACTCTGAGTACCCATACAGCCATTATATTTTTCATTTTCAGTACAATGCTTAAAGTGCATCAGATATTCAACACTTTATTATAAAATACGTTTTGTGGTAGATATTTTGCCCAACTGTAGGCTAAGGTAAGTGTTCTGAGCACGTTTAAGGTAGGCCAGTCTACGCTACGGTGTTTGGACGGTTAGGCGTATGAAATGCATTTTCAACTTACAGTATTTTCAACTTACGATGGGTTTACCGGGATGTAACCCCATCGCAAGTTAAGGAGCCTCTGTACACCTCTTTATTTCCATGTCTTTCCCCCCTCCCAGATTTTAAACAATGTAGCCCTACTTAGATTCAATTAGCTTCATCTTTGCCTTCTTGCTTCTTTTTCTAGCACAAAGGGAAGCACTACTTGCACACTCAAAAACTTAAATCTTAAGTTTCTCAGCATTCTGTTTACAGATGTACAGATTCTGCCAAATCTTTTCCTTCCACAATATCAAAGAATTTAGTAATTCTTTCCTCTCTCTCTCCCCTGCCTAGTCAAACCTCGGCCACATTATGCAACTTACCAGTTTTCCTCTCTTCTGAAATACAGCAGTGAAAGGCATCTCCTTGCCTGGAGGCAGAACTCATCAGAAGTGTAAGCTACATGCTAACTACATACTGCTGCTAAAGATGTGAAATCCCCGAAATGGTCTGATATGCAACTGGCTACGCAAGCTCTACCAAGTCTATGTTTCAAGGACAGAAATTGATTCGTGACGTAGCCAAATTATAAAAACCTCAGACTATTTTTACTAATTTTTTTAACAACCAACGTAAGGCAATACTTCTCCAGTCTTTCCAGCAAAGTGCCTTGCACAGGATCGTGACGTCTACACTCCAAGGATCCTGACTCGTAACCCAAGACACCGCTAAACAGAATTTCTCTCACATCCGTATTTTACCTTTAAAAGTAATACAAATGCTGTAGTCGCCTCCATCAACACATCCGTAAACATTTAATTAACATTCTCAGCAATGAGTGAAACGGAGGCTCCCGAAGGCAGCGCGAGGTCCGCCCCGGCTCTGCGCATCCCTCTCCCTCCCCGGCCGACGCCGCGGCAAGAACGACTAGAACCCGGGCGTCGGTTCCCCGGCCGCGTCCTGAAGACCTGGCTTCAGGAAGGAGCGGCCGCTGACGTGAGAGGTGAGTGTGTATTTACTTCAAAGTGTGAGAAATCTAAAACCGTTTAAGAATTCAAAATCAGAATCCCACACGCTGTCCCCCAAGGCCTTCGAGTTCCATTGTTGACGCCCAGACACCTCCAGAGTCCTTTAAACGTCTGCCCGACGCCTCTGACAGGCGTCCGCCCCTCGCGCACTCCCATCCCCAGCGGCGCCTCGCATCGGAAACTGGGTCCCCGGGCGCCTCCCGCATTCTCCCCACGCTCCCTCACAGGT